GGGAGAATCCCAGTAATTGTAATTTATTGTGCACTGATTTCAACCATTTAGATTGAAAATTATCCGATCATAATAAATGGACTAATCAGGTTGAAAATTCATTTTAAGCCAGAGGCCAAAGTAATTTTGGCTTCCATCTTCAAGGTACTAGTTTTCAATCTTATTAGTGCATTCGGGACACATATTGGGACCTGAAGGATAGCTCTAAGAAATTTGGTTTGAACCCTCTCAAGAGGAGCAAAACTGAAAGAAGAGGGGCCAACTACGGTGCCATAGAGCATTTGTGCAACTGCCTTTGCCTGAAAAAGGTTTTGAGCAGCTGGGACGAAAAGAGCCCCTTTTGTATGATAAAACATAAGGATGTTATTGGCAGTTCTTTCACCTTGCATCGCTACATACTGAATGTGGGCATTTTTGGCCCCTGAAGATTGAAGGACCATGCCTAAATATTTAAAACAGGAGATGTGTCCTAAGTGGTTCTTCAGCTAACATCAGCAGCAGCTCCCAGCACTAATTATCAAAACATATTATAAAGCAGCAATACACTCTTTATTGCTCTATAGCCGTATGTAGCCCTTTAACATGTCACCTGTGGCTCTTTAGAGAACTGTTCCTGAACATGCCACTTGGTCTATGTTCCAAAAAAGTGGCCAAGGTTCAGTTGGGCTTTTGGCTGACAGGTGGCTCTCACACTGAAACAGACATTATTAGAGGGACTGGAGAAAGGCTTTAGCTGTGATGAGCCTTTGAGGTGCAGGTCTTAAACCAGGGGCATAGATAAGGGACTTGTCCTCTTCAACAACTCCTACCCTTCTTTGCAGTCTCTGTGCTCTCATTCCAGCACCCAGGTAGCTGCCATGAGGAGAGCGAGTAGGCTGCAGAGGAGTAAAACCACCACAATGGCAACCACTCAGGAAAAGAATGAGCTGACCACAGTGTGTATTGGGGAGGGGGATTAGCATGTGTGTGATTTTCTACATTGCCAGCTTGTTCTTCTCCAGGCACCTTGGCAATCTCAGTCTCTTGTCTGAGTTGGGCCACATTCTGGAAAGAGAATGCGTAGAGGGAAATAAAGGTCATACAAGCTTCCCTCTGCAGTCACCTGCTCGGAACCAGTCAGCAGTGCTTGAAGCCTCCCCTCAGAACTTTCACAGCTCAATCCAAGCAGGCTTTTGCAATGAGATGCCTGAGAACCTTTTAGTTCCCCTCTGTTGTCTTTCTCTCTCCAGTACACAGGAAATCAGGCTCCTGCAGCCACTGGCCAGGTCTTAAGAAACATCATCAAGTGCTATGGCCCCTATGGGTACAACACTGGGGATCACTGGTTTACTGTAAGCATGACTCAATTTGCCCTTTTATACACAAGTATATCCAAGGTAGCAATTATTTTAAAATCACCCACTTGTTATTTTTAATTTGAGGTGCTGATTTTTGGTGACACAAGTCAATACAAACATTTTCTCTAATGTCCAGACCTGCTCCAGCATATTACAAAACTGTATAATAAAATAACAGGCAAAATATTGCCATACTCTACCTTTAAAGTGCCACCTTTCACCATCACTTTCTGTCTGTCTGGCTGAACTCCAGTCAAAGCAAAAAGCTGAGCTTTGAATACCATGGGAGGTTCATCTGTATTCAGCTCCACACCATCAAATTTCTCTTTACCCCATTTCACATTAACTGCAGTAATGAATCAAAGAAAGATACATGGCTTCACATATTATTGTTAATGCACTCTTTTAACATATGCAAAGTGTTTTAACATTTAGTGAATTTTCATAAATACCTATCCCATGATTAGCATTATGAGTCAGTAAAGCACAATAATTTTATAATGCAACCATGCAATCCTGGACTCCAGTCTAAAACAGCTAAAATTAGACCAGAGAACTTGCATAGGACTGCATTGTTAAAATACTAACAATGCTGAACAGCCATAACATTCTTTTAGAAGACAGCTTCTCAAGTCTGTGCATTTTAGGTTCAAAGAGCCCTGCAGAACTTGCAATAAAGCCTGATAGCAAATGTTTTTGACAAAGAACAACTCAGTGTAATGCAGTTAAGAGAGCATTGTATAAAATCAGGGAAACTCAAATTCAGTACCACACACTGTCATGAAGCTTACTGGGCCTGGTCATTACCACTCAGAAAAGACTTTTCCACGGGAATGTTGTTAATATAAAATGTGGTGGAATGCCAACTTAAGCTTCACAAAGGAAGAATGAGATAAAAGTGTGGGTATTAGTAATAGACAGTAAAAGCTGTGGTAACCTAGTAATTCACCATCACAGAAAAGAAAACAGGTTGAGCTCTGCTATTTTAAGTTAAAGGACAATGGGGTCTGGGAAGAAGACCCAGACTACTGCCTTCCAAGTCCATCTTATCACTGTCTCCCCTGCATATGAGACAATATCACAAGTTCAAGTTGGGCTTTTCTCAACTGCCGCAGTAACAACTATTTGTGGAGCTAAAGTAGGAAGGAAAAGCCAATGAGAAAGACTAAAGGAAGGGTCTCTCTCTCTCTGTCTGCCTTGTCCTCTTTATTTCCCTCTGTATAACTTCTCACAAGTCTCCCCTTTAACAGAGTTTACCACATGGATAGTCAACAGAAATAATGACATATAATATGTTCTCCCCATCGTACTTAGTCCTCCACACTAGCAACTGAAATCACAAACCTCTCCTAGATCTAACCATAGTTTCTGCTACCCCATTAATTCATTATCAGGCCTTGAAACCTTCTTCCATAGCTACCCCCTCGCAAGCCCTCAGAGCACAGACAGTTTCATCTTCTCTTCTGTATCAACATCCTACCGGCACTAAAAATGTAGATCAGTACCTATTCTCAACACATAAGATTCCCATCGTAGATGCAGGCCAAGCCAACGATCCCAACATGCTCCCCTTAGAGTACTCACGAAGGGCAAGCTTCCGCAGTGTATGGGAAGCAACTGGACGGCGATATCTTCTGTAATGGGCTGGAGATCCACCGGAACGAGGTGGAGAAGTTAGTCAGCAGGCCACAAGATGCCAATTCCGTGCATATTGCGAGGCAAGATGGAGGAGTACGGACCACCCCCCCCCCATCTAGCGTAAAGAAACCTCAGGGTTTAACTAAAGCCAGCTTTTGGAGGGCAGGCTACACCAGCGGGGGACACTTCGATCCCTCAACCACTCGGCTCCCCTCAGCAGGCCTAAAAGACACAAGACTAACGAGGAACCAGAGTTAGGCCCTACACGGTGGCTAAACCTCAAGGCGGACTAGACTCACCTGAGTAAAGCGGCATGACGGCCGACCAGCGACGAGCAGAGAAAGGGGACGGCAACGGCGGTGCCTCAAGACAAGAAAAACAAGAAGCGGCTCGAGCTTCGTTTCCCTCCCTCGGGGTCTCATTCAAACCGGCCCCTCAGGATGACGCTGCAAGCGGAAACTAGTGCGCGCGCAACTCCGGAAAAGGCGCCTCCCCGCTACACTCTCCGTTCGTTGCCGTCGCGCTGCAGCTTCGTCAAAGGAAGTGAAGGGGTTGCCGCACCAGTAAGCGGTTTCTCTCCTTTCCGGCCTAGGATTCCTTTGGTAGAGCTGCGGATTCCAGCGGAAACCTGGAATTAAATGCTGGAGCCTCTGGTCATTTGGGGGTTTTGTGCTTCCACATACGCCCCGATTAAAGGTCACCCGGGGGGCGGGGGGGGGAGCGATTTCTCATTGCTAGTCATGCACCTCTATGTTAAATAAGCAGCCAGGACCCTATCTCAGCCTCTCGCGTTGACTCTTCCACTTCGTTCCGACACTACAAGGAGTTCGGTGAATAGGCACCTTAGGGAGGTTTGGTGGTAGAGAGTAGAGCAATAAAGAGTGTACTGGGGTGGGGGAACAACAGAAAAAGGGCTTCTAGTGCCCTGGTCCCACTGGTGGACCTCCTGATGGCACCTGGTATTTTTGACAACTGTGTGACAGAGTGTTAGTTTGGATGGGCCATTGGCCTGATCCAACATTGGCTTCTCTTATGTTCTTAAGGTTGCCTGATCCAGGTTGGGAAACTCCTGGAGATTTGGGGAAGGAGTCTGGGGAGGACAGGGACCTGAGTGGGGTACAATGCCGCAGAGTTCACCATAGCATCCATTTTCTCCAGGGGAACTAATCTCTGTAGTCTGCAGATGTTCTGTAAGCCTCTATTCTTGTTCAGAGTTGCTGTCAATAGGACCAAAGAAAATACACCAGCTTGATTGACCTCTTAGCCTTCCCTGCCCAAACAGCCATGCACTCTGCAGATGGGAACTTTGGCAGCTGAGACCTCCAGCGAGGAGGAAATGCCCCAGCCGGCAGGAAAAGGCTGGGACCTGCTGTGAACAGCACGAGCAAGCAGGTCTGACCCAAGATGGCGCCAAAAGCTAAAGCTAAAAAATAATTTTGGACTGCGGCCCCCAGTTCGTTGCCAAATTTTGGAAGAAATTGTTGCTGGTATTGGGGGTGCAACAAGGTCTCAGCAGCACTTATCACCCAGAGACTGACGGGCAAACGGAACGACTTAATCAAATGGTGGAACAATTTTTACATTGCTTTACTATCAGCATACCTAAAAGAAATCAACGCTGACTGTTCCCCGGAAGGCCAGATACCGAAGCTCAAATACTTTGGCCACGAAATGACAAGGGAGCATTCACTGGAGAAGACCCTCATGCTGGGAAAGATTGAAGGTAAAAGAAGAAGGGGACGGCAAAGGATGAGATGGTTAGACAGTGTTGTCGATGGAACAAACATGAAATTAAGCAAGCTCCAGAGGATGGGGGAAGGCAGGAGGGCCTGGCATGATGTAGTGACTAGTCCATGGGGGTGCAAAGAGTTGGACTCAACTGTGCAACTGAAGAACAATAATTTAGGTAGATTGTCTAATCGGTCTGCATGCCTGGAGTACTGTGTCCAGTTTTGGGCACCACATTTTAGGAAGGATGTTGACAAGCTCGAGCGTGTCCAGAAGAGGACAACCAGGATGGTGAGGGTTGGAATCCAAGTCTTATGAGGAAAGGCTGAAAGAGTTGGGTATGTTTAGCCTGGGAAAGAGAAGGGTTAGAGGGGACATGATTGCAGTCTTCAAGTATTTGAAGGGCTGTCATGTAGAAGATGGAGCAGATCTATTCTCTCTTGCTCCGGATTGCAAGTCTAGATCTAATGGGTGGAAATTACAAGGGAGTTGTTACCAGCTAAATATCAGGAGAAACTTCCTAACTGTAGGAGTGGTTGAGCAGTGGAACACTCTGCCTAGGGAGGTGGCGGATGCTCCTTCGCTGGATGTTTTCAAGCGGAGGCTGGACGACCATCTTTCGGGTATGTTGTAGGTATGTAGGGCTGTCTTTCAGCTATACTCCTGCAGAGTGCAGGGGGTTGGACTAGATGATCTGCAAGGTCCCTTCCAACTCTAACATTCTATGATTCTATATATTTTGGTTTACAGACAAGATGGTGTTGAAGCAGCTTATTTTCACAAATTCTTGGTTCTTATCAGTGAGATATGGTTGACTGAGTACTTAAGTTTCAGTCAACAATGTTTCTATATATAGTTTCCTATTAACTGTTCAGGTTTTCTGGAAAGGTCACTCTTTTAGTGTATCAAATTATTTCCCCTTTTCTGAAATCACAACGTTTTTTCTCCTGAGTAGTCTGTAACCATTTCCTTTTACAACAGACCAGGGATTGCCTCAGTGCCAATTCTGTGTATAACTGGTCAAGACTTATATTTCTTCCCGGATAATATAATCCTATTCCTTTTGGCCTGATTGGTCTTTGCCAAAATCTCAAACCCCAGTTCTTGGTGTCTGTATGAAAACACACTTCAGCTTCAGCTGACACTAGACTTTGAACTCCTAGATGGAATTCTTTCTCAGGTTATGTTTAACACAGCCAAGACCAGGAGTCTCTCCCTTTATTCAAAAGGTGAACCTGTCTGACAGACTTCAGGAACAGAATGGAAAGGGAAATCGCTGAATTACAAGTTATTACAACACTTGGAACAAAATCTCCCAGGACTCAACAGGAATATTGGATTTTTATCCCATTACATATGCTAACTCATTCAGTCCTCATCAGTGTTCCCTCTAAGCTGAGTTGGTGTGAGGTAGCTCAGTTTTTTAGCCACCGGCTCACACATTTTTGTTTTAGCTCAGGAAGGATGGCTCCAGAGCAAACTAATTTATGCAGCAGCCAAATCGGTCGCTTACAACTCTAATGCCAGTAGCTCACGAAGTAGAATTTTTGCTCACAAGACTCCACAGCTTAGAGGGAGCATTGGTCCTCCTCACATATGTATTCTTAACAAGGAGGACTATAAATCCTCCGTATTTTAGTGTATTTTTTTCAGAATAGTATATTAGAATACTGAATGCAAGGAATATTGGGATGTCTGCTGACAACATTACATCCAGCTCAAAATATGCTGTTAAGTGCCCTCCACGCCTGAGAGGAGATAATTAAGATTCTGTTACTTCTCACAATTAGAAAAACACCTTTAGGCTTTTATCTGCTATTTTGACATATTTATTGCTTTACAATTGTTGACCTTATAACCTTGTTATTTATTTTTCCACTTTGCATAACTTAAATATCATCATGTTACATGTTAATTTGCTGTTAAATCCCTGTCTATAAGTTCAGAACCTCATCTACCTTTCCAATGTGTTTGAAAAAGTGTGCCTTGCACACGAAAGCTCATACCTTGAATAAACCTTTGTTGGTCTTAAAGGTGCCACTGGACTCTAAATTTGTCCTACTGCTTCAGACCAGCACGGCTGACCATCTGGATCTATCTGATAGACTTTTAGTCAGACTCTTCAGACATCCACACCTTTGGCTGAACTTTTACTTTACTGAACAGTAACTGCCACTGAATTCAAAACAAATCCCTCTCCCCTCAGCTGATCTTATAATTTCCTCAGCTGGTGCTGGCCAATCAGAGTAAAGGAGCAGCCTGCCACTCAAGCTCGACATTCTAGAGCAGAGTTAACTATTCCCCTCCCTTCTCTGATTTTACTGCATCAGGAAAACAGTGTTTTAAATGTAGTCTATCACACCCTCATACAGAATTCCCAAACCTGGGGGAAGTCATCACACACTGAACTTTACCAACTATAGCTTTTGTAGCTTTCCCCTAAATCTATTGTGTCTATTCCCTAACAGATAAGAGCTCAAATATGCTACAATGTAGTAAATGTTGCAGATCTTTATCATAATTGCTGAAAGCACACTTCAGATATGCAGCAATGGTACACTGAAGCAAGAATAACTACTGTGGCACTTTAGAGACTCATTGGTTTATTGCAGCATAAGGTTTTACAGGCAACAGCTACTCCAAATGATGCAGGTAGTGGGCTGATAAGGTGGTAGGTATATATACACATGACTTGAAAAACACCAGAGAACAAACCAACAAGGTGAAAACAATACTGGAAATACAAAACACATCCTGATACAATGCATAACTTAAATTGCAGTATTAAACAATAATATACTGACACTGCATGGAGAAGAGGCCTGACACCAAATACAGAATTAGTAGGAATCAGATATCCAGAGGTGAACATATCCATCACAGGCATATGCTCCTGAATATCACAGAATGGGGCTCTGGAGATGAAATGAAGTGGGCATCCTAAATTTAGGTCTTAGGCATAATTCTCCAGAATGTAGCTGGTAAAACTTATGGTAAGTGGGTCCACATTTGCTCTGCATCAATACCTCTTCCCACTAAATCCCATACTACCTGTGATGCTATTGGGATACCCATATGCAATTATAAGTTGACTTCTACTGTTTTTAGGGCTTTCCCATTCTTTTTATCATAATGTTACATCTCTGGCAGAAGAGTGCAAAATTGCACATTTACAGGTTATGTTTACACCCATTTGTAAACAAGAATTTATTTTTAATTATCTTCATAAGGATCACATATAGCTGTACAACTTTAATCAAGACAGTATTGTTTTAAAGTCATCATTTGAATTGGAGAAGTGAACACCAAAATCACTGTAACCTGCCTGCGGGCCTTCCCTGTTACCTGCATTTCTAGACCACATTCAGAATTCCTTTTCTAAAGCCATTAAAGATACCCATCTCACTTACCTTTCTCTCTTCACGCATTTCCCCTTATACCCTCACTCTCTGGTGGCCACAAGCTTATCTACCGTCTCCTTTTGTCTCCTCCCACCTGTGCTTTCTGCCATCCTGCTCCCTAGAATAGTTTCTCCCCCCCCCTTTTCTACAAGTCCAACCACTTCTTCCTTCTCCAAGACCTACTTTAACAAAACTTTTGCAAACACTCCTGGTCTTTTGTATGGGCTCCTCTGCTGCCACCTAACTCTCCTGAATATTTCTCAGTAATTATCATCAATTCTCTCCACTATCCCTGTCTAGTCTTCTGGTGAGAGGCCACTCTCTCTATCATTGACTTCCATAACAGTGCATTAACAAATCGTTACTATTGATCATGCTTTAATTATAAATTAAATACATGTAAAGGTTCTCTTTTAAGAGCTGTGTACCTGGTATAATTTCCTTTGATGAAAATCATTACAGTAAATAGGACCAAACAAGTCATATACCAAAATAATTCTTCAAAATCCTATGAGAATTTTAATACACTTCATCCTGTACTAAAATGTACGACATTATAAAATTGTAATTTTCTTTAAAAAATATCAAGTTTCTATCAGATTTGTATTTTTGACAGTTGTATGTTTTAAAGCATTGTAATTTTCAAAACTTCCTAGGAAGTGTATTTTATTCTGGAGAAAAATACCACAGTCATTTTCAAAATAGTTCATCCATAAATTATTTTTTTATTTTGTATTAAATGAGTACGAATCATTACTGTATTAATAACAGATATGTTCATTACATATCCATTAGCGTGGCTTTCAATACCACTTGAAACGTGTAAATCGTCCTGAAGACGAATCAGTTTTCCAGTGCTTCGTGTTTAATACACAACTGCAAAGCCATTATAAATTACTGAAGAGGTATTTGGTTAAAAAATAAAATAAACCATACTGTTCATACCACAACAATATTCCTGCTACAAAGCAAGAGCTTCAATTCCTGTATTATCTATATTTTTAAAGTGTCATAGGTGTTTTGTTTGTTTTCAAGGTAGAAGCCTTTACTACCTTTCATATTAGGATTAAAAATCTCTCTTGGTAACAGGCGTTTTTATTTAAAATTGTACTCTTCTGAAAACATGGAACTACATTCTACAATATTTTAATCAATAAAACCATTGACACACATAATAGGTGTTTGAGATCTCTACACTTACTGACATGGCAGTAAAAATCCTCAGATTAAGGCACTAAAAGAACATCAATTAAAAGTCTAACAATAATTTACATTTCAAACAGTGCATATAGTGTGTGTGTGACTCTAATCTGCACTTCAAATGGTTAATGCAATATGTAATACAAATTATAGAAACATCAGGTACCAAAATATGCTTCAAAACATGGTTGTTTAACAGTTAGTTTATAATGCTTATAGAAGTAAAATTCTGTATGGCTTGGCAAAAATGCATAGATATGTAATTACTCATTTTCTCCCCCTTTACAAATATGCAGAATCAGTAATCTGTAAAGCAGTACACAAAATATTTAACGCTTTGAGCTGTTTCATAATCAAGGATTAGCATTAATAACATTGCAGAAAAGGCACTGAAGTTCAAGTGATTATATACGACTTCATTTTCAAGCAAATGTTGTTTTCTTCAGCACAACTTTAAGTCTTCTACAAAAAAAACAGACTGAGAAACCTTCTCCATCTACTCAATTCTGTGTACTCAACTTGATTAAAATACCCCTCCCACAGGGTAAACGACTCTTCATTCTCATCAACATGAGAAAAGCTCACTGTGTTCCATCATGATTGACGGGCATTTTTTTTAGAATCCAAAAAGGCAGCACTTTAACCTTATTCCTAGCTAAGCTTTATTTGCTTTTATTTGCATTACACAGTAATAATTAATCTAATCTACCTTAAGGCAAACCCGCAATAAGACACCCTCAGCATGCTTTTTGTGCCAAAGCAAGGAGGAGAGAGAGTAATAGCAGTCTTAGCCCTGATGTCTGTGATGGGGTGGAAGGAACAACCAGTCTGCATTGCTCAGAATGATGAAAAAAGTCCAGCTTTCTCAGACTGCATCCTGCCAGATTCCATGGAGCACTGCACACACTGTTAGCTGGAATAAAAGAAAAGAGAAACACTTAGAATTGCTATATAACTTAATAGACCAACAACATTTTAGAAAGTCTTGTCTTTGTAATGTTATGTAAACAAAGCATGTGTATTTTATTTTGTATATTCATGTTGGGAAACAGCATCTGTAGCAGTTCATGTATTATCTCATTACATTATTATGGATTGGAAAGTAGAATAGATCTGGTTATGTAAGATATACTGTGTTTTTAGTTATTAGCTTTCTGACAAGTATAACATTTATCAGCCAAACCTGCAAATGTTCATGCATTCTTTGCTAAGCATACAAATAGTACACATGACATGACTTCCTCATTGGCCTATGCGTAACCTAAGACCAAATTGTGAGGGTTTTGTTAAAGCATTACAATAATCAGTTGTACAAACAGTGTTTTTAACTTGAAGGTATGTCAGACTTATGAACTGAACATAATCATATATATGACAATAATTCATTTTGGGCATCCTTGAATTTTTGTTCCTAAAAATTCTTTTCATAACTACTGTCCTACTAAATTTCTCATGTAACCATGCTATATCTGAAACAATCTGACACTATAGTGAAACACATGGTTGTTGGTTTAGCAAAAAGGATTGGTTTTTAGTATGCAGTATTGTTTAGTTATTCAGTAGATAAAACCCAGTTCATTACTAGCCAATATTTCAAAGTGTGGTGTGGTCAGAAATCTCCAGTGACAACTTGTCCATAACATTATTTTTAACCCCATCCTGATTTTGACTTCAGTTCATTTCCACTGGCCATGTCAGACCAAGACAGAGCATACATGAAAAGGATCAGACTCAAAGGTAGTTCTTGGGATAGAAGATAACAGAATATTGACTGGGAAATCAACATAATAAAGTTCTAAAGAGATTATCACTAAGCAACAGGTTTCCCAAACCTGTTTCAAAGAAGAAGGTACAGAAGTAGTAAGAAATATATCTTCAATATAGCTAACTCTCAACATGGCCCCATAGGGGGATTTAAAAACCCTAGAATAATAGAAGCAGCACTGCTATCTTAAGAAACAAATACCATCCATCTATTGTTAAACAACCACAACAGTGCTGTCAGCCTTCAAAAGGCAGGGGAGGTTTTTTTTTTTTTGGTTTTTTTTAAAGGGCGGGGGATGTGGACGGGGCTCCTTCCAGGGTTGTTCTGGCCTTTAAGTGGGAATGCATCACAACCAGTGTCAGCAGCAGCCTCCAGGCAACTTGTTACCACATGACTTGCATGACTTGGCCAGGCCTGGCTGTGTGCTACTGTTCAACAGAAGCCACTCCATTAAAGTCACTGTGGTATAGTGGTTAGAGTTTCAGACTAGGATCTGAGAGACTCAGATCTGAATCATGACTGCTGTGGAAGCTTACTAGGTAAGCGTGGGCCAGTTACACAACTTCAGTCTAACCTATTTCAAAGGGTTGTTGTGGAGATAAAATGAAGGCGAGGAGAACGATGCAAGCTGCTTTGGGTCCCCATTGGGGAGAAAGGTGGGGTTTAAACAAAATAATAAACGTAGCTGAATATGGCGGGTAGACGAAAGGTAGGTTAGTTTTTTAGTAGGAAAAAGAGAAGAAAGCAGAGAAAGGTGAGGCTATGGGGTTGCTAGAATAGTGCGGGGGGAGGAGATAAAGGGGAGAATGAAGTGCCCCTTGCAAATTCTTGCAGGTTCCCACTGTGCAACTCTGCCCAGCGCAGCAGCTGACACCACACAATTCAGTCATAGTTTTCCCAGGTAGTGGATATGAGGGAAGGATCGGAAGGAAACCCAAAGCCAAAGGCAAATAAAGATTGGCTGGCTGGTGGGAGGATAGGACAGAAAGAAGCAAGAAAAGGGGAGAAGCTACAAGGGATTTCAGAGAAGGGGAAGAGAAAATAGTGGAGGAGGGAGAAATGCGATGCTCCCCCAGATCTTTGCAGGTCACCCATTTGTTCCTTCTAATTCCCATATTACAGTTCCAGGACTGCAGCAATACAAGTTGATTATCATCTGTTCTGTCTCATCATTGTGCTAATATCCTGAGTCACCATAAAGCTGCAGTTCTTTTTGGGAGTGTATTTTTATGTATTACCACAGCAGAAGCCTGTTTTCAGCACATCAATGTGCGAATGGAGGGAAATGTAGTGCCTATTCAATATTTCCACCAGAAGTCTCTTCCATAAAGCACCCATCCAAAAGGGAATGATGGATAACAGGGATATAAAATTAAGGTCAGTCTTGTGATGGTATGCAAATGTGATTGGTTGTGATTTTTTTCTTTAAAGCTCACTGGTCAGCTTAAAGGAAAATAGGGTTGCACTTACCTGTAACTTTTTCATCAAGTGGTCTTCTGTGCAGTCTCACATAGGACTGAGCAGGTGCAGGGCCAGCCATGGAGAGTAGATTCCCAAAAGCTTCTAGAAAAATCAGCTTCTTGGAGCGCTCCCCCTCCCCCCAACACAAGCCAGATTCTGAGCAGCCACCTTCCCGTCCAAACGGTCATGTGATGGAGGCAGGAAGCACTCTTCCCTCTGTTCTCCCTTTGATTCCATGGAGCCAACAGACTGCAGACAAGGTACTATGCAGCCCACAGTGGAGAAACGAGGGTGGGATGTGAGCCTGCACAGAAGACCACTTGATGAACAAGTTACAGGTAAGTGCAACCCTGTCTTCATCTTTGTGGCTTCTGTGCAGTCCCACATGGTAGAGTAGTAAGCTCACTTACCGAGGAGATGAATGTGGACTGTTCATCAGAATATTACTGCAGTACCGCTCTCCCTATGGCTGCCTCACTTCTGGAGTCCATGTTAATGGAAAAGTGTCTCACAAATGTGGATGGAGATGACCAAGTTGCTGCTCTGCAAATGTCCAGAAGATTGATCTTTGAGCGGAAGGCAGCCAAGGATGTTTGGGCTCTCACTGAGTGAGCTCTGAGTAGAAGTAGGCACTCAACTCTCACTTCCTTATACCCCAGCTTCACTGCAGATGTCACCTATCTGAATAGAGTTTCAGCTGTGTTTTTTTTTAAATTCTTTATAGAAATAAAAAGATTTCAAAATGCTGTGCGCTTCAAATAAAACAATAATGTTCTTCTCACATCTAAGGTGTGTAAGGCTTGTTCCAACCCTGACTGAGGATTAGGGAAGAATACTGGAAGAGTTATGTCCTGGGGCATGTGAAATTTGGAGACCACCTTAGAGAGAAAATCCATGCTTGGGCATAAAACTACTTTGTCATGGTAGCATGGTACCTTGTCATGATATTGTTAGCAGACAACATAATAGGTACAAAGTTCATGATTCTGTAGTTCTTAAGGGCAAAACCTTGCAATGTCTGGGCAGCCATTAGATGGCGGCAGGTTGTGAGCTCTGGTGCTCAAGCTCCTCCATTTAATCCGTTTTTAGTAGGTCCAGGGTGATAAAGAACACCGGGTCTCCCATTTCGGCCAGCTATGATGGAGTGGACCCCAGGCTGGAACTTCTGTGCAGGTTGGAATTGCTGGCGCTGCCGCCACTCCCCCCCCCTCAGTACGGCCCTCGGTATGGCCTGTGCCTATTCATCCAAGGCTCAGGCACCACACCGCGGCATAACAGCTATCCGAAGAAACAGCCGGTCAGCCGGCAGCGCAAGGTAAGCCTGACTGAGAGGTTGGGAGGAGCAGTGAGACAACGTGGAGGCCTTACTGAATATCTGCCTCTCCGCCCCTGGAACAGTTTAGGGCCACCTCCACAGAGTGAGGGTACTGTGGCATGGCACGGGACCCTCCTAACTACCGTCTGGACTGGGACTCCCGGGGCCCGGCTTACCTTAGCTACGGGATCCACACGGTGCCAGCGCTACGGGGCCCAGTGCTGTTTGGCTGACGGAGATTCGAAAGGGCGGAGGCGAGCCGGCAGCCCATGTCTGGCGCGCCCTGCACAATGCGGCGTGGGCCGCCACCCTTTTTTGGGGCCCATTTGGGCCCTGAGTGGTGGCCTGGGGAACTTGCCGATGACAACGCTTGGATACCGGCTGAGAGTTAGGGCTGGTCGGGATGGCTGGAACATCGGCCCTGGCGGAATCTACAACCATCTAACCCGGAGGCCTTGTCTGAGTTTGTCTGTGCAAGCCAGAGCCTGCAGAGACTGTACAGTGTGGCTGAAGAGCAAGGAGGAGCTGAAGACAATCGGGGCCCTCTAGTGGCGAGTGGCAGAATTTTCTCAGGCTGACAGAATTGGCTTTAACACTGCCTGGCAATAGTGAGCGTATATGGAAGGATGAATGAGGGTGGCTGAGTATTTTGACTGCTAGTGGGTGAATGTTGAGTGGTTGTGCTGTTTGACTGTAACTACTGGGGACAGGGGTTGTAATTGTTGTATGAGTTACAGCGCTTGCGCTGTAGCTATAGTTGTTATAGCTGCTCTTAGTAGCTGAATTGTTATTTGATTAATTGTTAGTGGATAACAGCACTTTGTATTTTGCTAGCAGCTCAGGAGTAGTAGAACTCTCCCGTCATCTTTGGTATTGGCGGTCTGAAGTGTAACAGAGACGGCCAACGCGATCTAAAGATGTCCGAACAGCAGATTCCGGTGCTCTTGGGGAGGGGAAAGTTTAGCAGTGGGCCTAGGCAGTACAGGAAGGGAAGGGGGCAGAGATATAAAAGGGCTCGGCGCCCTTCCAGCCTACGACCCATCCCAAGGGTAGCTGGCAGTGGGGCCAGGATTCGAAAAATCCCTCCGTCATTGGTATTGTGCAACGCCAGGTCGATTAACAACAAAACCTCAATCCTACGGGATTTTGTGATTGAGCAACAGGTGGACCTGGCGTGTGTGACGGAGACCTGAGTCAGGGAGGGAGAGACTGTCGCTCTCACCCAAATGACCCCGCCAGGTTACTCGGTCCTTTACCAATTGCGGACTAGGGGGTGGGAAGGAGGAGTGGTGTTTTTCATTCGGGAGGCTTACTTTTTCAGGGCGCTCCCGAGTGTAGAGATTGCGGGCTTGGAATGTGTCGGCGTGATGCT